AGGTAAGGGCAGACTCTCCTGCAGAGAAGTAGGCACTCACAGTGTGGAGCAGACTCCTGACAGATAAGGACAGGCCATCTTTACTTTTGGAGCCCAGATTTACTAGCAAAAAGATTATTGATGGAATCTAATCAGAGAACTTGAAAGACTGAGACCAGACAGCATTCTTATTTATCCATGTTTTATATAAAATAGACATTTACATAAACTTTATTTTTGAAAGACTTAGGCAAAGTATACAGTCAGACTTAAATGGAGAAATATTTTCAGCAGCATAGCAAAAATAACGCAGGTGTACATCTATATACAATCACCCAAAATAGGAACACTGAGCAGTGGGAACAAAGAACAGCAGGGTCCCGACAGCAAACACTGACTTCCACACGGTCAAAACAAGCTCTGGCCTCTGCAGACACCTCAGTTCCCTGGGCTCCCGGGAAAGTGACAGGATCACTACAAGAACTTTAAGGACAGACTGTAAAGTAAGAGTTACTACTCTTGCCATGTTACATACCTGGGCAACCCAATCCTTCCCAGGGTTATGTGTTTTGTTGTGGTTGTGGTACTCATTACTGAGAATAACAGTGGGGGGAGGGGAAGGGTGAAGCTGGGGGAGGGCAAGATCATTACCTCCACAGACTCGTGCTTTTAGAACCACTGGACAGGATAGTGCTTCATAGGGGACAAACTCCACCGAGACAGACCAACCGCCACAGTGATGCAGCTCCTCAGAGTGATGCTACGATTAAACTCTGAGGCACTAACCCTGCACTAGTGTGCCCCCATGCACTAGCCCTGTACTAGCATGCCCCCATGATGGGCCAACAGCTAAAGAACCCCCGAAGGATATGCACATTAGGAACTTCCAGATTGGCTACCAATGTTGAATGTGTGCCCCTTTCAATAAGAAGACATCCTGGATCTCTGCATGCAGATGTTTCCAGTCAGAAATAGCTGATGACCTACATTTACAATCAGACCAGGATTATGGCATTGAGAGGTCCTGTCTGTCTCTTTTTAAAGTTACATGTCCTGGTGGTTTTAATCAGAAGAGTCCAAATGATCAAAATGGAATATTTTAACATGAGCCAACTGGTGGCTTCACATATTTTTTCTATCCTGTGGTCTCACTTTGATAGGAAACCATGGTTTGTACTATAGTTATTTATCTGCTCTCTCTGAACAAAGAGCTCACAGAAACAATATCAGAAGTGTTTTCAGAACTATACAACATACTTCGCACTGAAAACTCAAAATAATGGCAAGAATTACATTTCCAACATTGTTTTTTGGCATTCCATAGCCTTAGCTTATACAGCTGCTGTCTAGAAGGAAGATTTAACAGACATCTATAGTTTTACATGTAAAAGGATGCCATTTAGATACATGGACTTTGCTGTGTTTGGGCAATGCCAACCTACAATCAAAACTGTGATATGAAAATAAAGTAAGAACAACCAACTCCTAAGCACAGCTACATTCCTATCAGAAGTCTCCTGAAGGCTTATCCTCCTAGGTGGACCTGCCACAGACAGAGAAAAAAAGGGCATTTTTGCTTATGATTTTTTTAAAAGAGTTTGAATGAATGTGTGGGTTTTTGTTATTGTTGTTGATGTTGGTTTGTTTTTTTTTCTGTGTAGCCATGGCTATCCTGAAACTCACTTTGTAGACCAGGCTGGCCTGTAAAGTCAGAGTTCCACCTGCCTCTGTCTCCCAAGTGCTGGGATTAAAGGTGTGTACCAGTGTCTGTGCCAGGCAGGGAGACAGGCAGAGGCAAACACTGAGCCATGGACACCTTCTAAGAGTCCAAAGAAATCAGGTTTTTGTTTTTTCATTTGTTATCTTTGGTACCTTGCCTGGTACATGCACATAGCAAGGTAGTCCCTCTCTATCTGATACCCAAGCATTTTCTTAGTAGAAGGGCAAATTATAGTCCTGTTGCCACAAGCATAAAGCCACCCTACTCAGCTAACTGCCAGTCTGTCTAGGAGTAATGTCACCAACCATAGGACAATGTCTCATTCTTTAGAATTCTTCGGCTCATTTTAGTCCAATCTAGAAATAGAATTATCATTTTACTGACTTCCCCTTGGTAAAAGTCACAAACTCCCTTAGTTAAAGAGCTCAGCCCTACAGGACTTTGGTGGCACTAGAGAGCTGAGTCTTAGGGAGTGTGGAAGGGTCCTAGTTCTCTAATGGCAGCCAGTGCTGAGAGGCCCTGTGCTGGAGGGAGGGCCTCCCTACCAGCCCATGCTGCTCTGTAATCAGAAGGATATAAACTGCTATCACAAGAAATGGGACATTTACTTTCTTTTCTCCCTCAGTTTAGTCACCTCAGGTTGGCTTCTACAGTGTGGTTTGGAATTTTTATTTAGTCCTGGCTGAAAGCTGCAAAAACGCCTGTGAAATTCTGCTGTAGACTTCAAAAGAGAACCTGCATACTAATGTCGACCAAACTTCAAAAGAAACAACTCCCAAGTGGGGCTGAGATGTCACCGGCAGCCAGTGATAAAAGGCTCTCCTAGCATGCATGAAGTTCCTACCCCAGAACCACACAAACAAACAAGGTTCCCCAGGCCTCAGAGAGCACTGTTCCCCCATGGTCTCCACATTTTTGGTCCATTCGCCTATGTTCCACCACCAAGCCGGGTTTTATAAATGACATTAATATCATTTGAATCATTTTGAAAAATTCTAACCAAATAATTCCCAAGCCACCCCTATAACTTCTATGTCAAGGGGCACAAGAACGAACTGCCGCTCGGGTGGATTTCATGACAGGGACTGGGTCTATGTAGGACGAGGGCAGGCCTGACAGGGAAGGGTGGTGGTGGGAGGGGCTACAGGATGTATGTAAGGGCTCTGTGTGTAACAGAAGGAAGAACTTCCGGAATGCTACGCTGGGGGTTCAAAACAGGCGAAGCAAATCCTGATTTGTTCTTTGACTCCTTCCTACCTAAGGCATGTTTCAGAATTCTGAGACAGAAGGCTGGACACAAATAAAAAACATTAAGAATAAATTTATCTGAGGACAGAGCTCTGAGGGAGAGTGCTTCCCGGTGTGCACAGGTCCTGGGTCTGAGTCTCAGCACAGACTACGAGTCACTGTTCTAAGGCTTCAAAAACAACTCACCATGGAGCACGAGCCTGCTAACGGCAAACCAGATGCACTTTCATGACACGCCAGGCTCTGTTTCTACCATAATAAAGACAACTCCCACTTACTATTCCGTGTCACAAGGACCAAACAGCATGTTACAAAATACACTCAACAAAATACACTCAAACAGTTTGCAATTGATTTTCTCACAGGAAACGTTTCAACCATGGAAACCATCTCACTGGCTCATTTCAATAAAGGATCCAAAATATCTGGGCCAACAAAGCAAGCTGACTTTGCTTTTCTTTGTAACAGTGCTTATTCTTACTGCTCCAGGAGATGCCAAAGAGAAAGAAGAGAGGCCCAGATACAGCAGTCTCCTAGACGTCCTGCCGCCTTTTTCCTCTGAAAGGTTTATGTTGTCATTGCCTTTTTAATTATTCTAACAAGGGTATACTGAGATCTTCTGAAGCACTTTCAGTAAGGCAAAGTCCTGTCAAATGTTATAGTTCGATTTGTCCCATTACTTTTAAATGCATTTTGTTAAATACTATTATAACTAAGGGTGACTTTTACCAAGGGTCCCTGCCATCTAACACAGGAGCTAGGAATTATTTTCTAATAAACACTATAGTACATATTTTTTGACCTTGAGACTGAAGATTTATATCTTAGATGGAAGAAAATAAGATTCCAGATCAATTTATGATACTATAATTTAAATAATGTTGACAGAAAACAGGTGACAAAAAGTGGCCCCCAAAATCAGGTGTGTGTTGGATCAAACTCCCTCACCACACCTTTCCAAATATATTTCAGCCACTTCAACTTACCTGCTACAAAAATAACAGAGGCACTGCATCCTGATGCTGGGTTGTAAGAAGCAGAGGGTTTTCCCTCCCTCAGGCCTGTCTGCATAGGTGAGATGTTTTTGTTTTCCAGCTGTCATGTCTGTGTGATGGCTGGCACCAGGACCTGCATGGCCTGTGGTGTTTTTGTTTTCAGTGATGAGCCCTTCCAGCTCCTTCACTTTGTAAACACTGAGCTGACCCTAACTCCATTACCAATAACCAATACAGTTTGGGGAGACTATGAAAGCTTTCCTATTCTGCAATTTCCATATGCTTGGTTTCGAGAGCTGCTATCAAAATGACTATGTACAGAGGAAAAAAAAACAAGAATTGTGGCTATATATTAAATATTTTATAAGTTATACAATAAATAACACTAAAAATAATGTCAAGTTGTGATTTTAACTTTGCCTTCCTTTTTTTAAAATATAAATATATTTTTAAAAAATTATGAATTTTGACTTCATCCTAGAGTTTTAGAGTATTCCCTACGAAGTCTCCAAACTCACTTCTGTTTTAAATACAGAGTCCTCACTAAACCTCAAAAGTCAGTGACAGAGCTCTTTTCCCTCAACTTAAAAGAGTCTGTGAGGAATTCTGTAACACAATGTAAAGATTCTTCAGTGCTCAAATATATCTTTCAAAAACAATAAATCTCACAAGTCTTGATCTTAAGAGAATAAAGTAGAGCCCTTCTTTGGACCCACCCTTTAACACTTCTGTGCAGAGTGCAGCCCGCAGCTCCACACTTGAGCAACACATTTCAGGGTCCCAACCTAATGGTTAATGGACTCAGAAGGTTCAGAGTATCGACACGATGCTAGTGACACCTGGAATACAGCTCAAACATTTAAAACATCTCCATAAAGAATCAAGGATGTTGAGCTTTGATTTTCCTGTAGAGATAAACATAGTCACATACAATTCTAGAAGATTCCATCTTGGTGTTTTAGGCACTAAAAAAACCATACCAGAGTAGAATTTAATGTACTTCTCCAAAGGTACTTAGTGATACCATTGGAGGATATTAGCCCAAGCCCTACTATCAAGTGTTCTGCTCCCCTGCACTCCACAGGACTCTGCCAATATTCTTTAACACTGACTCTAGATTCTTGAGAATTAACTGACCTTGCCCAAGTAGATTTCCAAGAGCTGACTTCAGAGAACACATCCTTTCTTAGGGACAGCTGCTGCATTTACAGGACTTCGAGTTTCTATATTTCTGGGCTATAGTAAGAATGGGGGTCACTATCTGCTGCCAAAGCACTGCTTAATATCCTGGGGACTGGGAGTCACTCAGGAGCCAGCAAAGCATGCACTTGCTATCTCCCTTCCCTGCAGACAGTCTGCTCTCCTCTGCTGTTTGTCTTTTCATGGAAACAACTCTTCTGCACAGTAGCCAGTGGCTGTCTCTCACTGTGCCACAGGAAAGGACTGCCTAGCTGGCAGAGCCTGCTGTGTGTAAGCAGGGCCTCTCCAACTCTGTCCTCTTCCAGCCTGCTGAGTCCCACACAACTGTGTCCTTTTTTGGTCTATGTTTGATCCCGTTCTCTGACTTCTTGTAACCTCCTCTCCAGGCGATCCAGCTTGGCCAGGTTTTCCTTCAGCAGCTTGCTATCTGGAACCAGCCTTAGGGCTCTCTCATAATAGGCCCTTGCAGACACATAGCTTCCCTGCAGGGAAAGAAAGAACAAGATTGCTCAGCACACCCCTCTGAAGATGGAGAAGGAACCTCTCTTTCCTCTGACTGCCAGTGATCAAGGCTTCCCTAAGGAAACCTTATCCACGGATATTTTCATCCTTATCTCTTGGTGCTTTGGGGGAATCCATTTGTTTTAAGAACCAGCCAGCTGGGAAATGTGGAGACTGATAGTTACAGTATAAGGTTCAACGGCAGAAACACAGACTTCAGCTTTCTCAGTATGGAGAAGGAGACTGTCATTTTATAGTGTTCTCAGCAGGTTAGCACTGATCTGTTCTCTTGAAGCAAATAGGCTTGGGGTAGGGCGTGGTAAAGGAGGGGGAGCAATAATTAAACAGATATCCATTTTATCTTCTTAGTTTGTTATAATCTTCATCTTCAAACACAATAGCAGCCTTTGCCTTAACGAAAGCTTTACACAAATTAAAGAGATGGGCTTGGAGCTGGACAGATGGCTCAGTGGTTAGGAACACTTGTTTTTGTAGAGGACCCTGGGGGATGGCGCCATTCACAGCACCTACATGATGATGGCTCACAACCACCTGTGACTCCAGTTCAAGGAACTCAGCACTCTCTTCTCACCTTTGTGAGCACTGCATGCACATGGTGCACATACATGCAGGCAACACACTCATACACACAAAGTAAATACATCTTTAAAAAAATTTAAAGATGGACTTAGGTTTATCTCCTAGCCATAGTATTTGGTGAAAAGCACCAGCTAGCCACTGCAGAAGGGCAGAAGGAACAGGACCTCTGACCTGCTGAGCACACTCTGTCAACACTCACCTGTTTAATAACATTAAGATCAGTGTGCCTGGGTCCAAATGGCCACTGACAATTGGGCAGAGTTAGCTTTTTCCTATTCCCCTTCCTACTGCCTAATCTTCCTCATCTGGTGCAGCCTTGCAGATCTGTAACCTGCAGAGCCCAAAACTACAGCTTCTATCGTCCATTTCCTCTGCTCACAGGCCCAGGAAGCTCATGAGACTTACAAGACTTCATGAGGCCCCTCCTTGAAGTTACATAAGTAGCAAACAATTGCTGGAAGTTGAGGAAGGAGCCTCTAGGGACTCAGCTGAGGGGGCTTTCAGAAATGCAGGTGTTCTTGAGTCACCCACAATCCTGTAAGATACCCCACTAGAAATTCATTGCTTGACCTTAGATAGGACCTTTTCTGTGGTCTGTTCTGTCTGGAGCATATGTTTACACCTTCCCCAGGAAGCTGCCCAATTTATTCCCATCCTAAAACGATGAATTGATTTATATAATCTTCAGCTGTAGCTCCCATGTGGGATGACACCAAAGATGATCTAAATTTCCATCACAATATAAAACAACACCTCTCTAAGGTAGCAACTAGTGTTTACCAAGATGTAAGTATCTTCCCACATGTGACTGTGTGGAAAGAGCTTAGGTGCTGCCTGATTCTACAGAGAGACCCCCACAGGATGCTGTAGTCATTTCATCATTGGCTAGACTGTTCAGTTTCTGTGACTCACTTTTTGGTTATTATGGTGTCTGTATGTGCAGCTACTGAAAGAGAACATGAAAATGACGAGAAGAACTTTGTACCCTGAGTACCAGTAATGGCTTGTGCAGAGAGACACATCTGAAAATTGATGCTGAAAGGCCAAACTGCTTTGGAACAGGAGCCCAGTTCTGTGGTGTTGTTGGTTTGCTAACTCCAGCAACCTCTCCTGAGTCTCTGATTTCTATTAACCTTAGTGTATATGTGGGCACCTGCATGTTTTTTGATCCAAGATACTTCATGTAGTGGGCCACAAGTTCTTGGAGCCTACCCTGAATTTGGGTCTCACCCTTAACCTTGGTATTATCTCAGATTGCTGGGTTTCTCTGCCATTTTAGACAAAATCTAGTTTGCCTTCTCTCCCTCAAATTTCTCTTTTCTTGATTAAACTGTAAACTCCGTTTACTTTTTCAATTATATTCCTTAAGTCAATTCTATGCTGTATAGGAATTTGAATGATCTGACTTATAGAGCTTAATTTTAATTAATTAAGATTAAGACTCATCAGGCATACCAGACACATTTCCTGGGCCCAGTTGCTGTTATCAGCTGCTGTCTGTTGGACAGTGAGACACAGAATAAGCTCAGCATCATAGAGCCTTCACTGTACAATAACATTCTACAAAGCACAGATGGTCTCCACAAGGCCATGCTGAAACAGTATTTTGAAATATGGCTTGGATGATGGAATCCTCTTAGAGGTTGCAGTTCCAGCCCATCTACCTCATTTTATGTAAAAGTTATAGAACATACTAGAGAGTGAATATCCCTAACCCAAAAAGTGCAAAAATGTTCAAAGTCTGGCACTTTCTGAGCAGACAAGATACCATACATGGAAGATTCTGTAGCTGAATTCATGGAGTGGCCTACTGTCAAACTATAGACACACTGAAAATACCCTATACAATTACCAGCAGCGTTGGTGTGAAATCTGGAGGGAATGTTCTATTTATCTGAGGCACTTCAGGTCACAAGCCCTGACTTAGACACATTGAGTGATGAACGTCCGTCCTTCCTTCCTTCCTAGGGCAGTCGCAACTCTCATGGTCTTCTTCCCATCTGTACCGCCTCTGTGTACGTCCTTATTTTGACTCTTCTCCTCCATAACCCTTGGAGACCCACTCTCCCCAGTCACAGGGCAGAAGCCAGGGCCAAGGTGAGTATCACTGTGATGAACACACCTTGCAAAAGACACAGCAAGTCCAGAGTTGTTCCTGCATGCCTAGTGATAATATCCTGGACTGCTATGGTGGCCTCAGCGTGACACTGCCAAGCTATGTGCTCACTACACATTGTTCAAATTCACCCACAGGATTGTTAAGCTATGAATGTGGGAGTTTCCTATTGCTCAGGCTGACCCATGGTATCTGCAGTGACAAAGGCTGATTAGTTTAAATAGATGCCAACTACACTAGAAAATAACACACTCAATAGATAAATTAACAACTGAACTTTGATTTTTGGTATATTCCATCTGAGAAAACTGTACATTATTTTTTTAAAATACTAAATATATAGTTTAAATATTTAAACAACTGCACTATTCTAAAGAAAGCTTCACAGCTAGGTGTTGTTGAACATCTCATAGTACTGCAGACCACAGAGTCTGTGACTCTGAGCAGCAATGTACTTACGAACACCCTCACTGAGGTCTGTTGTCTTACCCGCACAGCCATGAGTCCCTGTCCCTTTGCTGCCTTAGAGTGCTCAGTGCCTGTGGAAGGAAAACACTGGCAGGCCTCCCGGACATCCTCATCACCGCACTGTCTGCACCCCTGCAAAGTCTGAGAGAAGCCTGCAGGCAAGTTAGCTCAACAAGTCAGACCTTGGTATCTCTGTAAAAAGTCCTTCACAGCTCCAGCTTATCTGACATGTAGCCCAAGTTCCTGGGAAGCTCCTGTAGGCCTCACTCTCTTAGGCCTCAGCTTCTACCTTCTCTTCTCCTCTGACCAGCCATAGTCCTGCTTACCATTTCCCAAACACACCAAGCACCTTCAGCCTCAGACCTTTGCATGTGCTCTTTATTTGTTCATATGACTTTATCCCTTCAGCTCTCTGCATTCTACAGGAGCCTTCTTCTGAGAGCCCTGCCAACACCCTCTTGTCTTTCCCTATCTTTCTCATATGTTTCTGACCATCAGATATATTCTAGGCATGTATATATGGATGTGTGCACGTGTGTATTTATTGCCTGTCACTCCAAACTCGAACACAAACTCTAGTGGACAGCAGTGTCTGGCTTGTCTGATCACTGTTACATGCCCAGTGTCTAGATGTGCTCCTGGCATGCAGGTGGAGATGCCAGTAAGATGAGTGAGTGCAGATGGGAATGAACCATGACACATCTTTGACTTTATTGGGTATAAACAACAATCCCACCCAGGGTCACTTTCAATCATTCTTGGCAGAAAGACTCACCCAAAGTTAGCCTCAAGGAATGTGGACCAAAGCAGACAAATGTGCTTTCCACTAAAAGGTTAGGGAATAAAAAATGTTTTCAACACACAAAATAAAGGGGCAGTAGAGATGGCTTGGCAGTGAAGAGTGCATACTGCTCTTACAGAAGACCCACATTCAGCTCTTAGTACCCATGTTGGGCATCTCACAAGGGTTGTAAATTCCAGCTCTAGGGGACCCACGAATGCCCTCTTCTGGCCTCTGAGGGCATTGCACTCAAATGTACAACCCCATAGTCACATACACATAATAAAAAATAAAAATGAAAATAAAAATAGGAAATAGGAAATAGTAAAACAGTATTTAAATTAACAGTCTGGTGTTGCTAGGGAGTCAGCAAGCTTCATAGGGTCAGTGCACACAGACCTCAACTGCTGTCTGATGGCTCTTCTTCTCAGCACATGTGACTCTCCTTATGATCAGCAGTGCATGGATTTTAATTTAGAGACACTTAGAATGGGTCCATAATGTCTGCTATTTAGAAAATGCAGCTCTTGTGAATTTTACTTTTATTTTTTATTTTTTTTAAAGATTTATTTATTATATATGAATACACTGTAGCTGTCTTCAGACACACCAGAAGAGGGCATCAGATCTCATTACAGATGGTTGTGAGCCACCATGTGGTTGCTGGGATTTGAACTCAGGACCTCTGGAAGTACAGTCAGTGCTCTTAACCACTGAGCCATCTCTCCAGCCCAAATTTTACTTTTAAAATGCCTGTTCTGAGTATTCTAATGCTTTCAAAAAAAAAATGAACAGTGGCTTCTGAACCAGTGTGGACGAGAACACAGTGAGTGCCACACCTACCTGGATGTGCCGGATGCCACCCATGTTCATCCATGCCTGTGCCTGGTCAGGATCCAGGGTCACAGCAGCTTCATAGCTCTGAGCAAGGAAGGATAGCTTCATGTTAGGCTTGAGAAGTATCTGAAGTGCTCCAAAACTGTGCAGACCCCCTGTGCACATGGAGAATCTGATAGGTGACAGCCACTGGCAGGTGGCAAATCCAGTCTGTTATTTTTTCAGAGCTCATGGTTTTGAAGTGCACATGTCTGGCCTGCCCTTGAGGAAACAGGGATTTCTGAAGCAGTTTGTGTGTGTAGCCTTCTTCACCATAAATGAGCTGATGAGGAACATTTCTGATGGAATTACAGAATCCAAGAAGTGTGTAGTTCAGTACAGAGCACAAGCTCAGCTAGTGTGAGGTCCTGGGCTCAATCCCCAGCACTCAAATATCACAGAACTGGAGGTGCTCTCCTGCGCAGCTCCTCGGTGGCCCTGCAGCCTCCCACTGGTTGCTAGGCTCCAAAAGTAGCATGCTCACATCGCTTTATGGGGATGTGGATACCTGTCTTTTTTTTTCTGTCTTTTTGAAGGTGCTCTTAGCTGAAATGTGGTGGCACACTGCTATAATTTTTGCTGCTCTGGGGTAAATGACTGGCACCTTCATAATGAAGTGTTTAAATTTGTTTTGTTTTTGTTTGTTTTTTGATTGGCCTTGAACTTGTGACCCTTTTGACTCTGCTTGCAGATACAGCACTCCATCCGGTGGACATAATAATGTTTTTAAACAACAGTGTGTGTGTGTGTGTGTGTGTGTGTGTGTGTATGCTGTGTGTGTGTGCGTGTGTGTGTGTATGCTGGGTGTACATGCATGACACTATAAACATGTGGAAGTGAGGCCAATTTGCAGGACTCAGTACTCTCCTTCTACCATGTGGGTCCCAGGTGGTCAGGCCCCGGGAGGCAAGTGCCTTTACCCACCGAACCATCTTGCCATCCCTGATCAGTACCTGATATGGTACTTATTAAACTTCAGAAGAAAAGTCACTACAAGAATGGATGATCTGGAGGGGCTTCTTGAGGTGGCAGGGGAAATCCAGAGGTGCTGGGAGGTCACATACACGTACCTGCCCAAAGCTACTGGGCTCCAGTCTAGCAGTGATATAGACAGGTTCTTGCAGAGAGAACAGAGTACACTGGCTCTTTAGAATCCTAGAAGATGGAATTCTCTGAGTGCTTTCTATCCACAATAACTCAAACTTAAATGTAGAGGGACTGTCTAAACAAGTCATCAAACATTGGGGGCTTAAATGCGATGTAACAGTGATGACTCATCAGGAAGTCCCTCTGTGACCATCAGTGACTGAGGCTGTGTTGGCTTTCTTATTGACTGCAATATTCACTTAAACCTGTCAAGCAAATGACAGTTTTGTATGTTTTACCTCAAAAGCTTTGTCCAGAAGGTTCTGTTCTCTTAGCTGGTTGCCTTTTGTAAAGAAAAGTTCAGATATGACTTTTGGGTCCTTGGGCTTCAGTTGAAGAGCCTTCTCTATGGCCTCGAGTGCCTGCGGCAGTGGGAAAGGAAGGAACAGAGAGGGCCAGGTGAAGAAACCCCAACTTAAGGAACAGCATTTACACCTTGGTTCATATCTGCCAGTCAGTGTGACACCCAGCAAAAAAAACCAACAGTTTTCTCATTGGGAATTCATAGCTCCAGAAAACCATTCCTTCAGGTTCCCCATCCACAGATGACCAAGAAGCAGACATTGATCTGCTGCATGACTGCACTGGGGTTTGCCCTGGTCACATGTCCTTCTGGACCTCCGACCCCTGTGTCTCCCCTGCCTTTGCACACAACAATGGTTAGAAGCACAACTCTGCCTTTGTGTTAAGACTTCCAAGTTTATCCTAGAATCATGACCTTTCCCCACGTCTGTGTGTTGGAAAGGGAGGTGGTGTTCTAGTATTGTTTACATCTTTAACTGTGTGGTCTGTCCCTCCTCTCCCCACCCTTTGTGCCTTAGGCATGCCCGATTGACCCTCCCCTCACACCATGCTGAGTGGAAGCCTGACCTTAACTAGCCAGGCCCTCTGATTCTCAACGGGAGGCTTGGTGACCCTATTTCTGATCATACCAATTGTATTTGTCTTGTGATTTCTTGACATATCTTTGCCTCTTTTTCTAAATAAGCTCCCTGAAGACCAGGGATGCATTTTTTCCATCCTACCTTATACCTGGAATCTATTACAGTGTCTACCACACTTTGCAGGCATTTAACAGTATTTTCTTGAGTAGATTCATGAATTTTATAGTTGTGTGATTTTTTTTTTAAATAGGTAGATAAAGAGTCACAGTTCTGACAGTTCTGCCTTTCAGGGCTGACATGAGGACTGCATCAAACATTAGAACTTGGAGAGCCAGCAGGCATACAGGAGCTGGGCAGCTGGACACAAGCTGTAATTATGAAACAAAATATCTGTAAGCCAAAGAGAAGCCAAAGACATGCTGTTTCAAGTTAGGTTGGGAAGTAAGAGGTTGTCTGAGAAAAGCTCCCAGAGGGTAGGATGTGTAAACTAATGTTCTCAAGCCTTCCCGGCCTTGTGAACACGGTGCTGGAGGAGCTTGTGGTGTACACTATTTTCTATGTAAGACCACACGAGGCTCTGAAAGCCCTTTTCTACCTTGTCTGGCGTTCCCACTTGCTTTGGGTGGCTGAGTGCTTGGTTACCTTCTCATAGTGCTCCTGCTTGCTGTAGATTGCTGACAGGAGGCGGTAGCATTCCAGGCACCCGGGCTCCTCAGATACTATGTGGCTGGTTATCTTTTCAGCTTCTTTGGTCTGACCCATCACTGCTAAAACCTGTGCCTGCAAAACAAGAGGGCACTGAGCTTAGAAGACACTTGGTCACGCCTTAGCAGATGGAACAGCCTCTGCAGAGAGATATGTACAACACATCCCAACTCAAAAGCATTTTAGAGAAGGCTGAGTGGCTACAGCCGACAGTTCAGCATCTGGCTGCTGATACATGTGTGCATTTGGTTGCCACTGGTGGTAGTGCCACAGACACCCAGCAAACGGTCTAGACTCTTAAAAAAAAAAGATGTCGAAACACACCAGGAAGTAGTTCCATACCATTCTGACAGAACAGGATGTTTGTAAGAAGATGACAAGGCTGATGGAGGAAGAAGGAAGCATGAAATTCAAAACACTGAAATTAGCTGGGACAGTGGTGGTGCATGCCTTTAATCCCAGCACTTGGGAGGCAGAGGCAGGCGGATTTCTGAGTTTGAGGCCAGTCTGGTCTACAGAGTGAGTTCCAAGACAGCCAGGACTACACAGAGAAACCCTGTCTTGAAAAACCAAAAAAAAAAAAAAAGACCCACACACACACTGAAATTAAAATGTTGGTGATGTTAACTGCCCTGAGTTTGATACCACACTGCAGTTACATGAGAGAATGTCTTTACAGGAATCACATAGGAAGTAAGTTAGAGAGAAAGGGAGTGGCATCTACAACAAACTGTCCTGCCAGCAAAGACACACCATGAACTGATGAGCATGCTGATACACTTATACATCTGCATAAACACACCTGTCTGCTCACTCTCACACACCAGTGGGAGTGACAAGCAAATACATCAAAGGGCCCAGAACTAGTGGACTTGGGTCAGGTATTCCAGACAATTTTACTTTGGTTTGGTTTAGTTTGGTGCTGGTGACTAGAACCCAGGCTCTGTGCATGCTAGGCAAGTACTCTGTCAGTGCCCAAAGCTCCCTCCCTTGAAACTTCTTTTGGTCAGTTTGAAGTTATCTGGAAACAAGGCATCTCAACAATGTGAGCATCACACAGCAGCCCTAGCAAAGTGTTTCCCTTACAGCTCAGAGGCTCAGCAGTCTCAGCTCTGTTTGCAAGCTGCACTTATACCTAGTGTCACTTCCTCTGCTTTCTACTCACCAGAGCCAGGCGGAGATCCCTCTGGGAAGGCTGGAGTGAGACAGCTTCCCGGTACACTTCCAAGGCCTCCTTGTGTCGGCCAGTGTTGTAATAGAGTGCTCCTAGAGGTGACAGTACCTCAGCAGTGCGGGCCACCTTCAGGGCACTAGAGAGAGAAAAGCAGACAAGATGTTTCCTTCTGTGGACACATTCCCAAAGGTCTGCACTTAGCAGAGGGAGGACTGTCCAGTTAGATACTTGCTTGAACTTAGTCTATTTTGGACCAAGATCATGCTGTACCCTGGGTGAATATGCCTGTGACCTACTAACTTGGCAACTGGGTCTCAAGAGTCTGACTTGGTTTGAACTCTCTTGAAGTGAACTCTCATGAGTCTGACTGCAACAATGACAGACTTGTTCAGGTTCTGACAAAGTAGCAGCCTTTTCAGACATCTGTTTCTACATTGAAATCAGTGTTTCGTTTTGTGTTGTCATCCACAGCTCCAGAGAAGTGGGCTAACTAAGGTAGAAAAACTGCCTTCAACCCTGAGGAGCACTGTGGCTTCAGCAGTCGGGGTAAGTGCTGTGAGCTCATAACTACACTGCCATGCTGTTCTGTCACCTGAGTTGGCAACATGCGCTCCTGTTCTGAAAGTCTGTTTGTTCTAGCATTTAAGAAGCCTGTGGAAACTGCTGATGGCTCCAGGAAGCCGAGAAAGTGGAGAGGGACTGTACCGTTTGTACCACTCTTCAGCCATGCTGTTCTCTCCCAGGGACCTGTAGAGACGGCCCAGGTTCACCACAGCCACATGATGGCTTGGGCTGAGCTGGATGGCCTGTTGGTAGTGAGTCACAGCCTTCTCTGGAAAGCCTGCAGTATGGTGGGATGAGAAGAGAACAGACCACAGGGATGAGAGGCATGGCTACCAGTCTCCTTTTTGAGATATGCTATTCTTTCTAGCATGACAGCATCATACCGTCAGATATGCAGTTTGTGATCAGCTTGAATATCGGCCTCTTATGCTTGCCTTTACCTAAATTTGGGCCATTTCATTCTTCACCAACACGTACAAAGAAATTAGTAACAAGTCAGCAGTGTTGTTTGTTTGAGATACAGTCTTATCCTTTAGCTAAGGCTGGCCTGGAAATCACTATATAGCCCAGGCTGGCCTTGAACCCTTAGACACCCACAGCTTTAAATACTATGATGCTAAATCATACACATCTAAATGCTATGATGAAAAACATCATATCTGGTCTTGATTATTCATCTAAGACACTGTTGGTTCCCACTGTACACAAAATAAAACAGGGCATTGTGGGAAGAACACAGGCCTCAGGAGATTCTAAAAGTCTGCTTTAAGATATGTGGCAATGTTCTCTTGAAAACTTTTTATTGAAACCTTTTATTGAAAACATTTTATTTAATGTTACTTGTGTGCATGTGTGTGTGTGTGCGTGAGTGTGTATGCCTGTGTATGTGCATGAGCTTACCCACTGGGCCATCTCATTGACCTCAATTGTCTGCAATTAATATGACTTTAAACATAGTATCAATGTCACTCTGCATTTGCCCAGCGTGTATATTAAAACCTCTATGTTCACAAGACCTCCACAGATGCTTAGGATCCTATTTAGCTGCCTCTTGGGATTCAAGAGGTATTTTTTAAAACCACCCAAACAAGACGATCTCTTTACAGGTGTGAATGTGTGTGCGTGCGTGCGTGCGTGCGTGCGTATACTAATGGGTAAAGACCTTAAAAGACTTGATAACAAAAGTCAGAGTGAGACTCAGGTCTCCCTGGTCCAAGAAGGTCCCAGAGAAGCTTCCAGGAAACTACCTAAGTGATTGAATTTCAGAATGGCCCAAAGGGTAACACACTGAATGCCTGGTGTTCACACTAATCTTCCCAGCTATGCTCTCTGAACACAGGCTTATCAAGGACCATGTCATAGGGTATTCAGTGATTTGTCAGGGTTCTCTCCAGAGGCTCCTGTGAAACTGCTGTTGAATTGAAATGAAAGAACAAGCTCTGGTTCAGGCAAGTGAGCATGTGCTCTTCTGGTCTCCCTACTTTAATGATGTATTATCATGTGTCTAATGGTCCAGCAGGGGGCACCACACAGTAATTTTATATGTAAAAATAAGCTTGCTTTCCTTAGATGATCCAAGTGTAAATTTATATTCTATTAAACAGAAAAGCTTCACAGATCCTAGAAAATGAAAATCCTTTCAAGAACTCAATATTGAAAAAATAATAACCAGAACTGAATTCTCCTGTAGGATAGTCTCTGAGCCAATAGGACAGAATAGCACTTTTGTATTAAAGCCAAGAGTCATCACATTACTTCTGAGGATTCATTACACATGAACACAGAGCTCTGCAGGAATCACAAAGGAAACTGAATTTGCATCCAGTTCCACCCACCACAGGAGACCACTGTGTCAATTGCTAGAACATCAAGGAAAAGTTCCAGAGGCTTAACAAAGTCAATTATTAGAAGCAGCCACTATCTGTTGAAAGCTAGGCTTGGAGGTGGGTTCTCATAGAGGAAGTACAGCCCTGATGTACAGCCCTGTGGATGTGGTGGTAAGAAAGACAGGACACCTAGGCTTAAGGCAAAGCCACTTCCTGCACTGAGGAGTTTCCTTATAGACAGGATTCTATCCTGTATGAGCTTGGAGATTTAGAAAAATGACACCCTCACAGTATAGGGCAGTCTGAAGTGTGAGCCACCTGCACAGCTGGTGACTGCCACTGGTGTGAGAGAGAAAAGGAACCTCAGCAGAGTGGTTTCTCACTCACCAGAGTCAACTAAGAAAACTGCGTAGTTGTTGTGTAAGTCTGAACTATCCGGACAGTTCTTTATTCCAGCCTGGTAAACATCTTCAGCTTCCTTAAATCTTTCCTTTAACAGAGAACAAAGAAAACCAAAGTTTTATAAAATTAACAATACAGTGAAGATTCAGAGTGATCAGGGGAAAGAGAAAGTGCTTATTGAGCCAGGCACTAAGAAAGATAGGGGCTTTGCCTGAATCCATGTCTATGCTAACCGTGCACAAGCACAGGTGTGCTTAGTGCCTACCACTGTGAATATGCTGATACTTACTAAGATGAAGCATCTGGATGGACCCAGACCTGTATGTGGAAAAGGTCTGAATGATTTTCTAACTGGGTTCCTCTTCACCTTGGTGACTCTAGTGGAAATGCTGAATATCAGTGCAGTCACTGAGGCACAGAGAGGTAGCTGCTGGGCTCGGAGGCAAAGTACTCGGGGTTGATGCATTTACAGGGAACACTCACCTTCTTTCCTACCTCCCTCTAGAATTTGCTAAGGAAGTTTACAGTGCATGATTTGTGTGTGTGTGTGTGTGTGTGTGTGTGTGTGTGTGTGTGTTATAGCCCAAGTTGACCTAACCTCACTCCATAGCCCAGGCCGGTCTCTTAACTCACTACAAGCCTCCTGCCTCAACTTAAGTGCTTGGATTGGGGACAGGTTTTAATAGAGGTGAGTGCAAATGAAGGGAGGACTCTGTCTTACCCCTTCTCTTCTTGAAGTATTCCCACAGCTTACTGAATGCTGTGCACCTTGCTTTATTAAATCAGTGCTTTCTGGGGCCTGGAGAGATGGCTCAGTGCTTAAAACCATTGGCTGTTCTTTCAAAGGACTCAGATTCAATTCCCAGAACCCACGTGGCAGCTCACAAGTGTCTGTAAATCTAGTTCTAGGGGATCCAACACCTTCATACAGACATGAATGCAGGCAAAACATCAATGCACATAAAATATTTTTTAAAATGGATGTCCAATACTAAAGGATATAAATTATATATAAAAAAGATAAATCCATGTTTTCTGAGTTGGCCTCTACAAAGTGCCTATCTGTTTCCCTGAGGCATATGGTACACCCTACACCAACCCATATGGTACACCAACCCATATGGTACACCCTACACCAACCACTACACCTCCAAAGGACTATTTTCTAACTGCCCTCCTGCTCTCTGCACCTTAACATATTCTAATTATTTACAATTTATTAAATTCAGAACCCAATAACTTATAGATATTTTTCTGTAGTCGTATAAAATCATTATATCAACCATTCTTTTGAAAACACATAGGTTAAAATTATGTAAATAACCAAAGGTTCTGAGAACTACTCAAAACCTATAGTTAACAGTTTTATTTTTTAGTACTGTGTTAATGTCAGGCAAAAGAAGCCAATCCAGTACAGAGTACTTTGCAACTTTTCTTTAGTATGTTAAAAGTTTATCACAAGTCAGACATTTGAAAATGGACACTTTGGCCTGTCAGGGAAGGTGTGTGGGGTGACTATCCTTCATGCTACTCTGCAAGCCTGGCTGGGATCTGGAACCCAGCAGGACAGCTGTGGCTCTTCATCTCACGTGGAGCCACCGGTGGTGACTGACACTAGTTATTTCAGCACCATTGAGGAAAGGGGAAAGTTTCCGTGTGACAAGATTTATTTATTGAATCAGATCCATAGGCCAGCAAAATGGAGATGTACATTTCTCAGATACCTTCTCTAACTGCCAAGATCAACAACTGTCACACTCAGAGAAGATGAATGAAAATCTCAAAATAGGTACTTTAGATCTTAACAATAAGTTTGAAAGAAAGCTTTTTTGTTTGTTTGTTTGTTTGTCTTTTGAGACAGTGTTTCTCTTGTAGCCTTGCCTGTCCGGGATTTCACTCTGTAGACCTATCTGTGGCACACACACACACACACATGTGCACATGCCCGTGTACACACACACACACACACATACGTGCACATATGAATACAAACATACACATGCACACACATGCATACACATTCACATGCCCATACAATGTATATGTACACAAAAATGTACATACACATGTATATACACATACATGCCCCCCACATACATACATACATGCACACCAATGCAAAAACACACATACTTTTTTTTTTTTAATAAAGAATTTTGGGTCTTTACCTACAAGGTCCTATCATGGATGGGAAGGGACTTACAAGTTCTCCTCCCTTCTTGAAGAGCTACCAGTAATTAATGGTTGCTGGGGAAGGAAGACACCTATTTCTCAGTGGTATAGTTTATTTAAAATAAGAAACTCTAAGATAAATAATGCATTTATATAAAAAATACCTCCCAATGCAAAAGGACAGTGGCATTAACTGAGATATTTATTACATTATATTATTTTGGTTGTGGGAATACTGGAGGCAGAAATCACAGCCTAACACGTGCTATTGAGCGATATCCTGGCCTTATTAATTTAAATCTTTACAGATCTCTTTAATGTTTGACCATTAAATCTATCTAGATATTGACACCAGCTCTTGTGACAGTGGTATTTAAGTGGTTTCTTTCATTGTTGGTTGAAGTATGAAGAAAATCTGACTTGACAAGATGAAAAGCAGAAAGGGGCTGCCATTTAGTCATCTTTTTGAACAGTGGATATATCATGTGAGCACTAAAAACTACTGTAGACTCATAGGAGGATGCCAGGGAAAGGAGAGTCCCTCTTTTATATTTGTAAGACCCCTGCAGAGACCACTGTGGACCCAGGTCCATGGCTAGGTGTATTGAATGTGCAGGTGGTGTACAGTGGAACATCCTAACAACAGGAAACAATCTCTGGCACAGCCACAGGTCTAGACCCCACCCAGAAACGTGTTTGCTCTAAGCAATAAAACGAGGCAGCCGTGAGATAACTGTTCACTAATGGAGCTCTGGGAAGCTCCAGATGTATGTCTGTGGCAGTCTTGGGAAGCCGAGGACTCACGGATTGGACACTCTGGGAAGCTGACAAGTCTGACACCCTTCGGCTTCATAATTTCTTGCAGACTTTGCTAAGAAACTACTGAAGACACAGCAGCTCCAAAGCTGAAGCTGCCCAGCGGGGGTGGAGGTGGGGGCACTGCCTGGGGGTGGGGACTCCTGCCTCTTCACTTTCACCACTGTCATTCTCTTACCAAACAGTAAACTATCAACTTCAAGTGATCACAGGACATTTGTGAGAAATAGTCTATCAATATTTGATGTCTCATTTTCTTTCACATCCAACTGAAATGAATCAACTAGCTTGGCGTTCTTCCTCCCTGAGGAAATGTTTGGCATTTTCTAATGCTGCATGTCTTTGTCTCCGTGTGTGTGTGTGTGTGTGTGTGTGTGTGTGTGTGTGTGTGTGTTAATGGAGTAAAAGAGAAATGGCTGCTTCAAAGAAGAAAGCCAGACAGTGAAACAACGAAGAGGACATGGTGGTCGGGAGGAATAGCAGAACATGGGCCACACAGGAAGAAGGGTGGGTACAGGGATTAAAGTGCTAACAAGGATGGAAGAGGGAGTAAGGTCAGAGGAAGGGTCAGGGGAAGGGGGGAAAGGTCAGGGAAAGGGGTGAGAATGGAGTAAGGACAATGAGAAAGCCTTATAGAAACCCACTAGTATGTAAAATAATTTCAAAATCTGATTTTTTAAAAAAAGAGTTCAAATGGAGGTGCCATCCATGAGTGGACAAAGCAGGTCCAGAAAACTGTGGTGAAAATCATAAGATACCTCCCTAAGAGTCAGTTGATAGCGCAACCCTAACTGAGGAACAGTGAGCAGTTGATAGCTCTGGGGAAGGGAAAACCATTCTTCTAGGAAGATTGTTGCTCTGGTGGGTGGGCCCACTCCTTACCCCTCACCCCTCACCCCTCACCCTGACACAGACTGACTGAATTCAGTGGGTTATTTAAGGAAAAAAGGTGGCATGAAGAAGAGAAAGAGATGTGTTAGGGGAAATGGTGGGACCGTAGAGAGAAGAAAATGAGGGATGAATATGATTATAGTACATTGTATACATCTATGAAATGTTCAAGAATAAATTAAATAATACACACACACAAAGGAAAAGCACAGAACAAGCCTCTACAGGAGTGACACAGGGACCAGGAGAGAGGAGACCCACAAGTGTAAATATCTCAAGAGTCCCATCTCAGCTTTTCATATGCCATTTGCCCCACCCTTTACTTTTATGCAGGTGTGAGACACATGATCTACTCCTGGCTGAAAGGTTTTCCCCTCAGTCTTTACGCTTTAGCTTACAGGAGCTGCCACACCCTGTGGGATTCTCATTTTCATTCTTCAGGACTAAGGGTTGTGCACCTCTGGAGACAGAGTACACTAGCCCTGCTCTGTGAGAAGATAACTCAGGAACACAGCACAAGACTTATGAGATGGAGTTTTACTTCTCAAATAGTATCAACATGAAATGATTCTTCTGACACAGGGTCTCAGTCTGCAGCTCACGATGGTTCTAATTGCATCAGTTTTCCAAGTGCTGGGATTACAGGTATGAGCCACCACATCTCATTTTGTTGTTTGTTTTTAAAAAGCTACCAGGAAAAAGGGGTTTACTGTTGAAGAAGAAGAGGGGGAAAGAAGAGGGAAAAGATGGAGACGGGGGAGAAGAGGAAGAGAGGGAGAGGGAGAAGGAGGAGGAGGAAGGAAGAGGAGGAGGAGGAAGAAGCAGCAGCTGTCGCTGCCAAATAACAAACAGCTGGTGCCTTAGTATGTAAATAACAACACATTATTTTTAACTAGTAAGTAGGCATTAAGATGACATTTGTAGGATACAGTAAGGCTCGCTTAGCAGGTAAAAGAGCCTGTTGCTAAGCCTGATGTTTGAGTTCAATCCTCAGAACTCATGAGATGGAAGGAGAGAACAGACTCCCCAGGGTTGTCATCTGACCTCCACCAACAAGCCATCACACATGTGCATTCATATACATACACAAAATATTGTACACTGTTATTTATAAGCTAATGGTAGGGGAAAAGAACCCACCTAGACTACACATAAACCTACATGTTAACACAAGTGTCCATAAGAACCCTGAGGAGGCAGGGTGACTTT